ATAGATGTTTCATGAGCACATACTGTGTACATGTCAGGCACTGTTTAGGCACAGGGGACAAAGCAATGACCATGGCTATTTTACTTAAAGGAATGTTTGTCGTACTGATTTGTAAGACCACTTTATATGTTAAGGCCCTTCACTTTCTGTAATGTAGATTTGCCACTTTTTGCTAATCTTTTGCTTGCTTGCTTTTTTTCTTTACGGTGTGTTTTGATCTGGGGAAGTTCAAAACATTTCTGCAGTCAAATCTTTCTATCTTTGCCATCTACCTACTGAAATAAAATAAACATTCACCTATATAACCTCAGAGATATGATTAGAGATGGTGATAAGTGTATGACAGAAATAAACAGGGTGCTGTGATGAGAAGTAACAGAGGGTGCCCTCGCTGGATGGTGTTTTCGGGTGTAAAGGGTGCGAGGGAGGAAAGGGATAGGGGTGTGTCAGAAGGCCAGTGGGACAGAAGGCTCGTGGGGGAGGGAGCACGAGGGAGGGAATAGGAGGGGATGGTAGTGGGGTCTCCGGGGGCCAGATCATCAGAGGGGCTTGGGTGGTTTGGGTTGGTTTTTTTTTTTTTTTTGCATTCTCTTAAACTTCTTATTTTATGGTAATTGGTGTAAGGATTAATCCACGCAGTTGTAAGAAATAATACAGAGAGATCCCCTCTACTCTGTTTCCCCCAAGGGTAACGTCTTACAAAACTATAGTTCAGTATCACAACCAAGGTATTGACATTGATAGAAACCACTGACCTTCCTCAGATTGCCTCCGTTTTCCTGGTACTCGTTTGCGTGTGTGTTTGCGCACGCACGCACATGTTATTTTTATTTGTTTTGTTAGCTTGCTTCTTATTAATTTAACTTTATCACGTGTACAGTTTTTGTCTCCACCACTGCAGTGAGATACAGAACAGTCCTATCATCACAAGGATCCCTGTGTTGCCCTTTTATAGCTGTACCTCCCTCCCTCCCTGCTGCCCCCGCCCCACCCATGCGGGCAACCACGAATCTATGCACCATTTCCATAGTTTGATCATTTCAAGAATGTTACATAAAGGGAATCAAGCAGCACGTAGCCTTTTCGATTGGCTGCTTTCATTCCGGGGCTTGGATTTGATTCTGAGTCAGAGATGCTGCTCTTGGATGGGCTGTGGACCCCTGGGGCTCTGTGCTCCCCCCCGCACCCCCCTACCCGGGGGTGAAGACATCTTTCAAGAGCCAGAGGCCAGTGAAGTGAACAGACAGATCATGGCCTGGTTTCCAATTTGAAAATGACTCTGGTTTCAGCATGGAGAAGAGACTCGCGTTTGTAGCAACTGCTAACTGCCCCCCACCCCGCCGGCTCCCCCTTGTTTCAGCGTTCTCCCCAGCCCCAGACTGGGTCTTGGAAAAATCTTGCCACGACCCTATTCAGAGACCCTCAAAAACCACTCATTGCCTGGGGGGCGGGTGGGGCTTTGACCTGGAGTCCTTACTTGGGCTTCAGTAAGCTCAAGTAGCTGCTGTGTGAACCACTAAGATGGAATGCAAAATTAAATGTGTGCACTTTTCTGGAAAGAGAGCTTGGAGTTTGCATCGGAGGTTCAGATGGGTCAGGGACCTCCAAAACATTGAGAACTCTGGGGTCTAAACACAGACAGTGGTTAACAGCCAAGGCTCTGGAGCCCGACTGCCCCTGTTCAAATCCCAGGACTGTCACCTCTCTGTAACCTCAGACACGTCACTTAACTTTCCTGAGCCTTGGTTTCCTCCTCTAAAAATGGGAAAAAATACTAGTAGCTACTTTATAGGGCTGTTTTAAATATTGAATTATTGTATGTAAAATGTTTAGAAAGAAACTCGGCATGTTTAAATATTTTGGTAAATATCGTATGTTTGTTGAGTGCATGATGAGGCTGCAGGAAATAGGAGAGCAGAGCCGTTTAGGGAGAGGCCTTCTAGCCCCTCTGGGATTTTCAGGCCCTCTCTGTATTAGTTGTCATCCCCTTGACAAGCTTGAAATCAGCAAGATTTCTTCCAAACGGATGCACGGTTACAATTGGGTACTGTCACCTCCCTGGTCTTGGCTCTCATATCTCTCTTAATATGGCTTTAGCTAGAAGAGCTGGCTGGGGTTTGTTTGTTTTTGTTTTTGTTTTTGCGGTACGCGGGCCTGTCACTGTTGTGGCCTCTCCCGTTGCGGAGCCCAGCCTCCGGACGCGCAGGCTCAGCGGCCATGGCTCATGGGCCCAGCCGCTGCGCGGCATGTGGGATCTTCCCGGACCGGGGCACGACCCCGTGTCCCCTGCATCAGCAGGCGGACTCTCAACCACTGCACCACCAGGGAAACCCTAGAAGAGCTGTTGTGATTATTGAATTAATCGATGTAAAATGTTTAGAAGGAAGCAGGTTGACCAACTCTTCCTGGCCCATTTCATTCCATATTGTTGGGTTCAGCCTGTGGTTCTAGGAGAAATTGGAGCTGGTATATTGAAAGGTACCTTGGTCTCAGAAGCCAGCAGACCTGGATTCTGACTCTGGCCCTGCCCTCTCGCCAGCTGTGGGACCCGATGGGCAAGTTATTTGATCTCTCTGGCCTCCGTTCCCTTAGGAAGAAAGTGGAAATAACAACCCATCTTGCAGGGTTCTTGGGCAGACTCAATAAGGTAATAACTCTAGTGCACATGGCAAAAGGTCAAGCACATGTGAGTACTTGATAAGCAGGACTTTGTTTACACAAATGCTTGGTTCAGCATAAGGAAGCTGTTTCCAGTAGTCAGGCTCTGCTCGAAAATGACCTAGGGGTGACCACCCCATCCATGGAAAGAGTACAAACAGAAACTGGATGGCAACATGTCAGAGACGGGATCTCGGCAGGCACCCCTGTTCAGGTTGCCACTTGGGCTGGGCAGGTGACCCCTACACGTCAGGAATCCCACAGTCGAGGGTGTGGACTTGAAATTATTTGCTTTTGCCATGTGCCTTACGCCCTGATCATTTGGTAATTATTCTTTTTAATTCCTCTGCTTCTCTGCACCTTCGTCCTTCGTTCCCTGTGATGTTCACAGAGGCCTTGTCACCACCACATCTGTGCCGCGGTTTCTCCTGAGGTGCAGCACCTGCCATCCCTGTGAAACCAGTCAGTGTGCGTGTGTGGGTGTGTGTGTGCACACGCATACATCTGGATGTGCCCTCTGAAACAGATCAAAGATAACACCCTGACCGCTGTAGATGTCATGATTTAATCTACCCTGGGGGGGGTTGCTTCACTCCCCCACACCTTTTTAAAGCACTTTACCATGGTAGCCTTTCTGCTGTGTGACCTTGGACACGCGTCTTGACCTCTCTGTTTCTCTTTATTCAAAATTGGGGCTAGAGTGACCCCTTTGACATCTCTGCCACAGGATGCTGTGGATGTCTGTGAACTCACAAGAAGGAAGGTTGCTGGGACCTGGCAGAGGAAACCAGCATCACTGTTTTCCAAATCCCACTCCCACCCCTCCTTCCTTGGTCTTCACTGTGGCTCTGCCAGGAAGGCCAGTTGAGGCTTTGAGTGGATACCAAGTCTCCCCCTAGGGAGAGCTTTCCAGCCCTGTGCTGAGCCCATCAGCGGCCCCACATCATGTCTAAAGTGAATTTATTCGACAGACTTGCCTGAGCATGTGCTGCGTGCCAGGCATTGCTGTAGGTACTAGGAGATTGGCCGTGCACAAGACAAACACAGGCTCTCGGGATGACAGACACACAGCTGAAAGGAGAACATCTCCCATTCTCCTTGCCCTTTGCCCACAGGGCACTTTTTGAAGAGTATAGGCCGCTTCCTGCATAGACTGCCCCTCAGTGTAGACTTGTCTGATGTTTCCATGTGATTTGTGCACTGGGGGCAGGGACCCCAGGGAAGTGATACTGTGTTCTTCCAAGGGCATTGTTTTCAGAAAGCTCATGACCTTGGTTTGTCCCATTCCTGGTCATGTCGACACTGACCATTTGGTTAAGGCGGTATCTGCCAGGTTTCTGTATATAAGGTTCTATACAATTACATATATCCAGTATTGTATGTGAATTATGTAAAGTTAATTAATATGAGTTTGTGGGGAGATACTTGGAGCCTGCTGTGGTGAAATAGAGCTGTCCCTTCCCCCCACTTACTCATCTTTATCACTGTAGACTCCTGCACCCCTATTTTAACTCTAAGGGTTACAGTTGGTTACTATAATATTCATCGTGAGGCTCTAATTGTGCCCATTTTGGCCGGTGGGCGTCCATTCTAGCTGGCTCCTGTGTCTTTTCAGGAGGTCCCCATCATTCGTGGAGTACTGCCTTACTTTCTGGCACAAGAAGAATACCAGGCTTTTCTTGTACTTTCCCTGCTCCTGGAGTCATCTCCGAGGAGCCCTGGTTCCTGTCAGTCGAGAATAGTATTTAGAAGCCAAGACCTGGGCACTGGGATGGCATGATCATCAGATGCAACGCATGATTCTGGACTAGATCCTGGACTTATAAAGAGCATTGCTGTGGCAATTCGCAAAATGGAAATAGGATCTGTGCATTAGCTGGCAGTAATGCATCCGTGTTAATTTCCTGATTTGGATGGTTGTATTGTAGTTATGTCGGTGACTGTCCTTGGTTTTCTTAATAAACACTGGAGTATTAAGGGGCCATTTATTCATTATGAATAGATGGATGAATAAAATGAATAAATGAGAGAGAAGACAGAGACAGAGACTGAGAGTGTATCAATGAGAAGGACAGGGAGAGGAAAGGCATGGGGGTGAGAGTGAATCCGTGGTATGTTTGAGGAGCAGCAGGAAGTGAAGGTGTGCAGGGGGGCAGGTGCAGGCCTGGTGGAGAGGGAGGCGGTGCCGGGTGGAGGGGGCATGCGGCGGAGGGGGGAGGGCTGTGTCTGGAGGTGAGCTCTGAAAGCTGCGCTCGGGATGATGGGGACCGTGGGGACTGTGGGAATCATGAATCAGCGCTAATGGGCTCACTTGCTCCCAGCAGGCGCTGTAGGATCTCCCAATGGGGCGGCTTCACTCTGGGCTCACGTTTTCGGTGGGCTGTCTGATCCTGGTGTGGGCAGCAGGCTCTGGTAAGTCACCACCTCTCATTCATTCATTTCTTCCTTCATTCAGCAAACATTTACAGTACTGACTGTTTATGCACCAGGCTCACGCCGTAAGATAGATGCCTGTGGTGGTGGGATAGCTACCCTTAGACTGACATATTTTTCCTTTAATTCGGCCAAGGGCAGGTAGTTGCATTTGCATACTATAAAGGTGCATTTGGTCTGTCTCCGCTGATGGACCCTGTACCCAAGGGTATTTCTTCAGCTGCAGGCATCACCCCAGTGCCAGCTGGGAAGCTCTCAGAGCCCCATTCCTGGCCCCTGCATTGTGAGGACCGTGCCTCGGACAGTGGTTTCGTAGTTTTGTGATGGGCCCCTTGGTCCTGTTTGGGCTGGTTTCCCACTCATGCCTCTTGGTCGTCAGGCTCCAGCTGCTCAGAGGTCTCCTGTGTCTCCCCAGGGAGTGTGAGGGTCCTGCAGGGGCCCACCTGCTTCTCCGACTACGTCAACATCTCCACCTGTGAGTGGGAGATGGCCCGGCCCACCAACTGCAGAGCCGAGCTCCGCCTGTTCTACCAGCTGAAATTTTTCTACTTTGAGTAAGCCTGGGCTGGAACTGGGAGTTGGGGAAGGTTTGCCTCGGAATTCGCCTGGCCCACGTGGTACCCCAGAGTGCATGTGCTAAGTGCGGTTCACAGGGGCTTACTGGGCATGTTAGAGGTGAGGTGCCCTGGGGTGCAGCGTGTGTAAGACACAGCGAGTGCGTCACGGTGCTCCAAGCTCAGTGTCACCAAGGCACGTGGCATGTGGATGTGGTGGAATCCTGGACTAGACCAGCAGTTCTCAAGCTTTTTCGTCTCAGGACTCTCTTGTGTGCTTAAGGATTAAGGGACTTTCTAGGTGGTCCAGTGGCTAAGAGTCCATACTCCCAGTGCAGGGGGCCCAGGTTCTATCCCTGGTCAGGGAACCAGATCCCACCTGCTGCAACTAAGAGTTCGCATGGTGCAACTAAAGATCCTGCATACTGCAACTAAGACCCAGTGCAACCAAAGAAAGAAAGAAAGAAAAGAATTAGTGAGGACCCCCAAAGCTTTAGTCTGGGTAGCTTACATCTATCAATATTTCCCTTATTGGAAATTAAAACAAATTTAAAATCACAACAGCCCGCAAGTTCACATTCAACAGGCTGTCGGAGCAACGGCATCATCACACATCGTGTGCCCTCTGGAAAAGTCCACTGTATGCTTGTGAGAGAAGGAGAGTGGAAATGGCCACTAATGTCGGAGTATTACCGTGAAACCAGTTTGACCCAGTGGAATCCCAGACCACACCTTGAGAACCTCTGGGCTAGACCATTGTTTGGGGGTGCAGTGTTAGCAGTGGAGTTCACAGCGATGGTTGATGGACCGTGGAACTTGGGATGTATTTTTCCAGGTGGTTCACTGGGATAATCCATGGTACACAGGGGTAACCACTGGTGTAGGTGGTGCCCCAGGACATGACCCAGTACGCAAGGCACACAGTTATGGAGCACATTGGGATATACAGCACACCTGATGTGGGCTACACTGACAGAGCTGTTATTCCACAATATACTAAGGTGGACAAGCTGTGCTTCTGTATGTGATACATTGGCCTAGACCAGGGATCTTCAAACTACGGCCCATGGGCCACATCTGGCCTACCACCTGTTTTTGTAAATAAGGTTTTATTGACACACAGCCATGCCCATTTGTTTACGTATTGTCTGTGGCTGGGGCTTTTTTGTGCTGTATCAGCAGAGTTGTGTAGTTGGAATAGCAAGAGTATGGCCCTCAAAGCCCCAAACATTTACTATCTGCCCCATTACAGAAGACGTTTGCTGACCCCTGGCCTAGTCCATGAGACATGGAGTTGGCTGTTTTGGGTGACACATTAGGATTAGGTTGTGGGGCACAGGGTATGTGCCTGCCAAGCCACAGTCCGCTGTACTGGGCTAAATTGTGCTACCAGAGGGGTTCTGGAACAGACACATATGTCGTTACAAATTCTTTCATGCCGTGGGTTCTTCCCTTTTGCTGGCTTTCAGGGTCCAAGGCTGGGGCCAGGGGCGGATAAGAGTCCATGGTGGGTGTGGAGGGGCTGTGGCCAGCAGGCAGGTGGTCCCAGGCCCCTGTCCCCATTGCATCCTGGCCACTCTGCTCCCAAGTTCCCAGATCTGGTCCTTGAGGCAGGGTGACCAGGAAGCTGGAAGGGCCTGTGGTTCCTTGAGGTGTATCCTGGGATGCCCTTGGGTCACATGACCAGCCTAATGCAACATCTGTGTCTGCAGAAACCACACGTGTGTCCCCGAGAACAGAGCTGGCGCGGTGTGCGTGTGCCATATGCATATGGATAACGTGGTCAGTGTGGACACCTACCAGCTGGACCTGTGGGCTGGGGAGCAGCTGCTGTGGAAGAGCTCCTTCAAACCCAGTGAGCATGGTGAGCAGGGCGGGGCAGGGTGGGGTGGCATAGGGCGGGGCTGCAGTTGTTCCCACAGCAGCCGGGTGCCGGGCAGGGGAGGCAGGCTCCATTTGGGGGAGGGGACCATTCAAGCAGCCTCCAACCCCTGATGGGGTTGTTGTCCCTTTCTGGGCCTCAGTCCTCCCATCTTTGAAATGGGGCTGGGCTCAGCAGTACGTCAGGACCCCTTCAGTTCAGATATTTCAACCCCCTGTGTTTAAGTGCCCAGATCAGGGTGCTGAATGAGGCGTATTTGGTGGAAGGCATGCTTGCTGCAGATCAGAAACTGAACCGGGAACCGTCCTTCCACCCTCTGTCAACTGTTCAGCTGCTGCTTCTTCAGACAGTCTAGACCATGGGAGGCTGACCTTGTCCTGGTACCCAGAGTTCCCGCAGGAATTCCCCAAGAGCTTGCTGGGGTGTAGTGACAGGATTTTAAAACACTACTTATTGCTGTATGATCTTGGGCAAGTCATGTTACCTCTCTGAGCCTCAGTTTCCAAAAGACAGTTATTATCCCTATTTTGCAATTGAAAAAAACCGTACATACTTCAGAGAAGGCAAGTAACCTGCCCTCAGGTCACGCAGCTCCTCAGCAGCAGAGGCAGTATTCTCACAGAGCTCACAGTAGTCACCACTCCATCAGCAATTCCGGAAGGGCTTACTCATACCCGGAGTTGGAGGGTGTGTGTGGGGGTGATTTAAATTGACCCATGAACGAATCCATGAATTGAAAGAATTTTTATAAGTGTGTGTTGATTTTAATGCTCATTATATACCTGTGACCTCATGGATATGATTGCTTTAAAAGAGACTAAGTTTTAAAACACATGAGTCAAAATAAAGAAAAATAGTAGATAATAATACAGAGCACAGAGGTGGCCAAGAGAGTGAAGGGTGAAGGTGGAAAGGCCAAAGTTTGGGTTACTTTGCTTATGCCTTTTGCACTCACTGTGCAAATGTAGTTGACAACCACTAAAGTGCTAAGTGGGATTTTAGCGACATGAGAATCAGTATCAGGGTTTTAATTCTCCACTATGACGAAATCTGTGTGGTATCCCATCAGCGTATTATGGAGGTGGTGTTGACCGAAAATCTAAATGGTCTGCAGGCTGGGCCGGGCCTCCTCCTGACGCCCAGCCCAGCCCAGCCCCTCACCAGGCACCACTTCTCTGCAGTGAAACCCCTGGCGCCCAGAAACCTCACTGTTCACGCCAACATCTCCCGCACGTGGCTGCTGACGTGGAACAACCCGTACCCTCCTGAGAATCACCTATACTCCGAGCTCACCTACCTGGTCAACATCTCAAATGAGAACGACCCCACGGATGTGAGTGGGCGCCCTGTGGGGTCTCTCTGTGACCTCTTGAGACTCAGACGGGTCGAGACTCAGGCTCTGGGGTGGGAGGTGGGGAAAGTGACCCGTGATTGGACAGCAAACCCTGGGGATCTGGACCCCCACCTTCTCCTCTGGCTCTGTGCCGGGACCAGGCCCTCCACCGCTCCAGGCCCCTGACTCCCAGCGTGCAGACAGGGGAGTTTATTTCAGGGCACTGTTCCTCATCTATAAAGAAGGGCTCTGGACCACATTTGTTTCCCAGGGGGCGGGACACTTGGGATTTTAGGTGATACCTCCAAACACACTTAAATGAGCGAATCCCAGGGTGAGACAGTCACTCCACGCCCACTCCTGCCCGACCCTGACTGTCAAGGGAGGCGTCTCAGCTGAGCTGATTGGTTTACTAATCCTTCTCTTTTTTTTTTTTTTTTTTTTTTTTTTTTTGCGGTACGCGGGCCTCTCACTGTTGTGGCCTCTCCCGTTGTGGAGCACAGGCTCCAGACGCACAGCCTCAGCGGCCATGGCTCACGGGCCCAGCCGCTCCGCAGCATGTGGGATCTTCCCGGACCGGGGCACGAACCCGCGTCCCCTGCATCGGCAGGCAGACTCTCAACCACTGCGCCACCAGGGAAGCCCTAATCCTTCTCTTTAACAGAGAGAAGAGGCTGCAGGCTCAGAGCCTTCCCCCAGAAAACAAGTTCAGCCGAAATTTCATGCCGTTACGTGGTTCTGATTGCGTTTACTTTATGAGATGCTCACGGCATTTCATACTTGCTTTCCAGTCATAGCAGTGGCAGTGAGGTTCCATTTTATTTTATCTTATTCTATTATTTTATTTTATGATGTTCCTTTTTAAAAAAACGAATGTACTGACATTTTTAAAACAGGGAGAGCTGATTTGTGACATCTTGAGCTGTCACATCAGCTTCCGTCCCTGCTGCTTCTCTTCCTGGCCAAGCTGGGGTGGGGGTGGGGTGTGTGTGGCAGGTGTTGATTTACATCTCTCAGGTGTGGTTTTCCTCCTTGGCACTGGGCCAGGATGTGGGGTAGAAGCAGGAGTGGGGCAGCCAGGCTCTCAGAGCAGTCGAGAAGAGGTGGTTGGCACAGATGCTGAGGAAAGACGCAGGGTCAGTTTTGTCAGTAAATCCCCTTCCTGTTCCTGGGCCTGTGCAGGCTTCGTTCAGGGGATAAGCTGGAGGGGAGAGAAGGGTACAACCTATAGGGTCCAAAGGAATATCATCTATTTGCTTATCATGGCTGGATCCAGGTTCCAGGAACCTCCATCCTTTGGTCCTGCTTTATTCTGTGTTGGCTTCATTTTTAGGCAGACTCTTCCCTCATGTAGCTGCCAGTATGTCTACTAGCAGCTCCAGGCCTGCATCTTAAAACCGCAGTGGGAGAAGTTCTTCTCTCCAGATAGTCCCAGTAAAAGTCCTGGGGCCAATGATCAGTTACCTGCCGGGGATCACATGCCGCTCTCTGAACCTGTCGCAGGCTATGGGCAGGAGACAGGGTGCTGGTGCAGTGTTCTCACTGGCCAGGGCTGAGTCACATGACCACCTCTGGAGCAGGTCAGGTCAGCCTCACCCAAACCAGATGGGCTGAAAATGAAGGAGGGATGGCTCCCCAAAGGAAGTTCTGCGGAAGAGGAAACAGAGACTGGGCTGGCTGAAACACAGCTGGGTTTAGGACCCGGCACCAGACTCCAGCCAGCGGACAGAATTGGTCGGTGTGCCTGGGCTATGGCTTAATGGTCATGTAGGTGCTCGGGGCTGCCCCAGGCCTCAGAATTCCAGGTCCAGCTTCTCTTGCTGGTGGGGCAGAATCTACTGAGACACCCTTCCCCCATCTCTCCCTTTCCAGGGACAGAACCGGGCCCGAAGAATTCCTCTCGTTAGTCATTGGCCAGAGATAGTCACATGCTCCTCTCTAACCAGTCACAGGCTAGGGAATGAAATAGCCGTGATTGGTTTAGACCAATGAGAATTAACCCTGGAACTGGAGACAGAGGCTTACCTGGCCTGAGCTTTGGGTACCTGACCCCAGTTGTGTAGATGCTGGGTGGGTGCCCAGCTGTGTTTGCTACAGTACTGCAGACACCACCTGTGGCTCAGACTGGTGGGATCAATTCTAAAAATATTAGAAACTAGCTGTGGAATTTGGGAGATGGAGATGCTCATTGTCCTGGATGATTTCTGGACAAGGTTCTATAACGGAGGTAGAGTTTTGGCTTGGGCAATGAAGGATGTATAGGAGTTCTCTAGCTAGGGAATGGTAGGCCAGGCAGAGGGAACTACATGAGCCAAGGCTTGGAGGCATGAAAATTCATGGCGTATCTGAGGATTATGGGGCTCTGGGTGTGTGTACAGTGAAAAGGCAGAAAATGAGGCCACAAGCTTACTGAGGGCCATGAATGCCATGTTCATGACAATGTCTCGGGTGCTTACTATGTGCCAGGCTCAATGTGTGTTATCAGCAATGACTGGGAAAGCCCTGCAGGTGGGAAGGTGTTTGTCTATCCATTTTAGTGACCAGGACACTGAGGTTTGGAGAGGTGGAATGACTCGCCCAGTGTCCCACAGCTGGAAATGGCCAAGCTGGGATTTGAAGCCAGGATTTGGACTGAGGGACCTGTGCTGTTCTCTTCTTCCGGATCTTTCTCTCAGAATGGTCTCCCGAACACCTGGCCTTTTTTGTTAAAAAACACACCAACCACAAGTAGTTCCTTGGAAGCTCAATTTCTTTTTTGTTTCTTAGTAAATCATTTCCCAATTCCCTACTCCTCTCTAAGGTGTGTGATTCCTTCAGTGAACCAGATCCAGCTGCTGCTTCCTGTTTACTGCGATTTAGAAAGAAAGGAACACTGGCAGTAAGAGTGTCCATCTCTCCCTGCCCTGGTCTCCTCCTGTCACTCCCACCCTGTCCCCAGCTTCCCTGGAAAGTTCCAGCTGCCCTCCAGTTTCTCCAGCAAGCTGTTAGGACTTTGCTTCCTTGCTGTGCACACCTCCCCTCGGCTCACTTTACACCAGACCGTTTCCCCCAGGTGCTTCCAACCTGCCAGCAGGAGCAGTGTTGCCAGGAGCTGGGAAGGGGCTGCGGGGGATTGGAGGGGGGCCTGCGAAGGGATGGACCCTCCACAGAGGGAGAAGCCCAGGCAGAGGATTCAGGCCACTGTCTTGCTGTCAGAATCCATCCTGAACCCAAATTTTACTTCATTTTTTATTTTTTTAAAGTCTTAAAAATAAAAGTAATATTTACATGAAGTAAAAAATTCAAAGGCTACCGAAAGACTTAGAAAGGAACTATGTTTCTCTCCTAACCCCAATCTCCAGTGCCTCTCCCAGAGGTTGACCACTGCTCCTGTCTCTTGCCAGGAGGGGAAGGCCAGGCTAGAGCAGGCAGAGGGTGTGGAGGCATGTGTGTCCTTCTAGAGAGAGTTTATGCCTGTACGAGCAAATGCGTGTGTGTTCCTTCATCACCATGAATTTTTTATTATTACATGATAATATTACTGCAAACAGAACTGCTTTAAACAGCACATATTTATTGCCCCAGAGTTTCTGGGGGTCTGGAGTCTGGGCACGGCTTAGCTGGGTCCGCTGCTTAAGGTCTCACGAGGCCGCACACACAGGGATTGGCCAGGGGATTGCTTCCAAGTTCCTGTGATGTTAGCAGCATCCAGTTTCTTGTGGGCTTTGAACTGAGAGCGTCGGGTTCTTGCTGACCTTTGTTGGGAGGCCGCCCTCAGTTCCTTCCCTTGTGGCCTTTTCAAAGCCAGCAAGGGGGAGAGAGTCTCCTAGCAAGTTGGAGTTACAGTCTTGCATAATGGAATCACATCCATGTAGTCCCTATGTATCCATCACCTTCACCATATTCTGTTGGTTAGGAACAAGTCTTAGGTTCCCCCGCCCCTTTAGGCAAGGAGAGGGGATTACACAAGGGCGTGATACAAGGTGGGGTCACGGGGCCATATGAGTCTGTCTGCCACCATCACTATGCCTTCTCCCTCTATGTTTTGAACATGAAAGGCAACAGACAACACATACTAATCTTTTTTTTTTTTTTTGGCTGAGAACCACAGGATTTATTATGTCACATTTTATGAAGGGGAATCCAGGAATCCAGGAGTCCAGGAGCAGCTTAGCTAGGTGGCTCTGGCTCAGGGTCTCTCGTGGAGGTTGCAGTCAAACTGCTGGCCAGGGCTGTGGTCTCTGAAGGCTCGACTGGGGCTGCAGGGACTGCTTCTCATCTCATTCACGAGGCAGCTGGCAGGAGGCTTCAGCTCCTCGCAACGTGGCCCTCTCTGTAGGTCTGTTCGCAGCATGGCTTCCCTCAGAGCAAATAATTAGAGAAAGGGAGTGAGAGAGAGAAGGAGAGCTCAAAACGGAAGCCTCAGTCCTTTAAACGTGTCTCAGAAATGACGCACTGTCACATTCTGCCATAAGAAATTAGCCACGTGACTGTGTTAGGTTCCTATTGCTGCTGTAACAAATTGCCACAGACTTAATGGCTTTAAACAACACAGATTTGTTAGCTTACAGTTCTCGAGGTCAGAAGTCTGAAATGGGTCTTGCTGGGCTACAGTTCAAGGTGCGTCATGAGGACGGGGCTCCCTCCGGAGGCCCTAGGGGAGAATCCATTTTCCTGCCTTCCCGGCTTCTAGAGGGGCCTGCAATCCTTGGCTCGTGCCCCCTCCATCTTCAAAGCCAGCTGTGCCTGGTTGAGCCTTTGTAATCCACATACTAATCTTCATTTTACCTTTTTCACTTAACAACAGATCTTGAACCTTCCTTCCCAATGGGGGCTAGGTTGGGCGGGACTGTGTTTGGGCTTGACTGTGGAGCCTCTAGAGAGCCCTTGAGGGAGAGAGAGGGACGCGGTGACCCTGTCTGTGCCTCAGAGAGATCCCTCTCGTGCTCGCCGCATGCCTGGCCCTGTCCGAAGTGCTTACCTGTGTTAACCCACTTAATCCTCACAGCAGCCCTGGGAGGTAGGCACTTTTATTATCGCCATGTTGCAGAAGAAGACATCAAGGTCCAGAGAAATTATGTCACTTATCTAAGGTCACACAGCAGTAGGAACTCTTACCTTCATTGTACAGATGAGGAAACTAAAACTCAGAAAGGTTCATCCACTTGCCCCAGTAACGTCAAAATGGCTGATCAGGGTGGGAGTGAGGGTCAGGATAAGGCTGATTTCCTGACCCATCCTGCTCGATTCTGGTCACAGTTGTGGAAGTGACGCACAAGGGCCTGAAATTGGAGGAATAACCAAATACGCAGGCTGGTGGCTCTTAAACATTGTGGGGTCAGCTAAGGACAGCAGCCCGGGTGGGAGCTGGTACTCCCCTCCCCCAGACTTGGTGCACTAATGGCTCCCTTCCCTCTACCAGTTCAGAATTTATAACGTGACCTACATGGGGCCCACCCTCCGCTTTGCAGCCAGCACCCTAAAGTCTGGAGCTTTCTACAGCGCACAGGTGAAGGCCTGGGCTCAGAGCTACAACAGCACCTGGAGTGAATGGAGCCCCAGCGCCAAGTGGCTTAACTGTGAGTACCCTGCTGGGAGTCCTGAGCAGTCGTCCGCACCGTGTGGCTTGCAGGATCTCAGTTCCCTGAACAGGGAACCAGGGATTGAACCTGGGCCACGGCAATGAAAGCCCGGAATCCTAACCACGAGGCCACCAGGGAATTCCCAGCAGTTAGCATCTCTATTCCCCACTTGCATTCTGTGGCCAGAGACTTCCCCAAGCCAAACATCTGGTTTCCATATCACAGGATGCTCTAACTGCAGTGACAGAATTACCAACTGATGTGGTGTACTGGTCAGGGTAGGGTAGGTTACAGTAACAAACCCACAACTTCTGCGGCTTAACACTGTAGAAATATGTTTCTTGCTCACATAACAATTCAACATGAACTTTGCTGATTGGTGGGTGGTTTTCCTCCCTGTGGCTCCATCATTCTCTAGGACAGAGATTCTCAGCCTTTCTGTATCATGGACCCCTTTGGCAGTCTGGTGAAGCCTGTGGACCTCATCTCAGAATAATATTTTTATTTTTATTTTTTTAATTTTATTTTAGAGTATAGTTGATTCACAACGTTGTGTTAGTTTCAGGTGTTCAGCAGAGTGATTTAGTCATACATATTCATATATGTGTTCTTTTTCAGATTCTTTTCCCATGTAGGTTATTACAAAGTATTGAGTAGAGTTCCCTGTGCTGTACAGTAGGTCCTTGTTGATTATCTATTTTATATATAGTAGCGTGCATATGCCAGTCCCAACCTCCCAATTCATCCCTCCTCCCCACCTTCCCCTCTTGGCAGCCGTAAGCCAGAATAATATTTTTAAACGTATAAAATAAAATATATAGGCCTTCGAGGGAAACCTAATTTTATTGAAATGCGATTATAAAAAGATTTTAAAATATATTTGTTATCTGGGACTACATGCTTCTTTAATAACACGTTAAAAACAGGATCTAGTGGTAGTTGTCATAAATACTGTAATTTCAAAGTAGATGAACATAAATGGTATTTCCTGCTACTGCAGCTGTCAGGTGATTTGAGAATAGCTGTGACTTCTGATGGGGGCTAAGTAACTGATGCTGCTATTACTGTGGTTGGCTCCCTCTGTTCCTAATGGGAGGAAATGCCAGGTTTCAGAAGTTAGTGAAAATAAAGATATCGTTTCTTTCCCATCCAAGTTCCCAGACGCCTAAATCCTAACGGCAACCATGTTGGAGGTCTGTGGACCCCAAGTTAAGAATCCCTGCTCTATGGACCTGCCATCATCTGCATCCAGCCAGCAGAAAGGGAATGAGAGCGGGGAGACCACACCTGCTTCTTAAAAGCCTTAGCCCAGAAGTGATACACATCCCTTCCTCTCAAGCACTATTGGTGGAGCTGGTCACGTGGCCACACATAGCCTGTAAGGGATTCTGGGAAATGTAGTCCCTCACCTGGTAGCTGCATCCTCCAAACAACTCTTTGCGACTTTATCACACTTTTGCAAAAGCGTATTCAATTATCTTACATAAAATGAAGTCTTTATTTTATTTTATTTTTTTGGCTGCGCAGCATGTGGGATCTTAATTCCCCCACCAGGGATCGAACCCATGCCCCCTGCAGTGGAAGTGCAGAGTCCTAATCACTGGACCGCTGCCAGGGAATTCCCCTAAAATGAAGTCTTGCCAGTGGACCTTCCTGGTTCATACAGCCGCTCAGTTACATCACCCCAGAGTCTTTTCTTTCCCTCTGCCATCCCTAGCATGGTAGCATTTTATCCTTACCCTTGTCACCTCATGGCCCCAAGTTGTCTGCTGCACACACCCTCATGCCCAAGACCCAAAGGAAATGGAAGGCTGCCACAAGGAGTGCATCCCTTGCATGTTTTATCATGAAACAAAAACATTTCCAGTCCTGGTGGCCTTTCCCTTGCCTTTCATTGTTCAGGACTGTCACGTGGCCTCTCCCAACTGCAAGGGAGGCTGGGAACTCAAATGTCTGAAAAGGGGACTAGTTTTGGCCCATGGTTGGCCCAAACCTCAGGGTGGGCACATTGCAGCCTAGCAAAGAAGAAGGGAGATAGCTGTTGCGTGGTGGAGGCTGCCTCGGGCATCATCCATACAATGGGCAGAAGGAAGGGCTGTTGTGAACATTCAATGAAGGAAGGATTCTTCAAAGTGCTGGGCACAGTGGTGATTGGTGGGTACCCCAACCCACTGGACGCAGCGCGATGCAAGCTCACGGCTTCCCTCCACTTCCAGACTATGAGGCGACCTTGGAGCAGCGCCTCCCACTGGGCGTCAGCATCTCCTGCGTCGTCATCCTGGCTGTCTGCCTGTCCTGCTATGTCAGCATCATCAAGTGAGTCCTGAGCTGTGCCGGAGGCCGCCAAGCCAGCCCCCTGCGGTGTGGAGTGGGTGGGAATTTCCCCTGTGATCTGTCAGCTTGCAGCCCTTTCATTCAACGATAGATATTTATTGAGCAGCTACTACGTGCGAGGCACTGAGACTGACAGGGACCCTGTGTCCTTGGGGAGGCACAAGATGCCAGGCCACCAAGTAACCATGGCTGTTTTCCATAGTGATCCTTGCACTGAAGGAGATATGCCAGGGCGAGGGGGTGAAATGCTCCAGGGCCTGTTTTGGATGGGGAGGCCAGTGCGGGCCCCTCTGACGAGGTGTTTGAGCTGAGACCTGACTAGGGGAAAGGAGCTGGCCAGGGCAGGAGCTGGGGGCAGGGCCTTCCTTTGGCAGAAACGAGATGGATCACGCCCAGGGTATGGCCCAGACACTTGAAGGCACGTGGCAATAGACAGAGGAATTCTAGATGATTGTCCTGCAGAGTCAGACCTGGGTTCAGATCCTGGCCTTGGTGCTTCGTAGATGTGTGACCAAGTTTCTGAACCTCTGTTCAGCCTTGGATCCCTATTTCATCAGTCCCAAGAGTCCTAAGGGACTCCCCGATCACTCGGTGTAGGGGCGGGCAGAAGGAGCCTTGTTTCCAGTGAGCTTGAGCCCTTGGAATCATGGAGTCTCAGAACCTCAGTCCTCCCACCTCTGAAATGGGACGAGCGGGCCCCAGTTGACCACTTAAGGATGGCGATGGTTGAGGATTGATGTGAGCGAGTGTCTGCACTCTGCCGGGCACACAGTAGGTGTGCAGGGAATGCAAGTTCCTCTCTCCACGTCTGTTGCTGATGCCTCTGAGCCCCCCTGGGCTGGTCTTTCTCCTTCTCTGAGCCTCAGTTTCCCCATCGTCTGTCTCCCTACCCCTACTCACTGTGTTCCAGTGCTCCAACCTCCTTGCTGTTCTTTGAACGCCCCAAGCAAGATCTTCCCTTGGAGCCTTTGCACTCGCTGTGCTCTCTGCCTGGAAAGCCCTTTTTCCAGGCATCACCGAGACTGACTCCTCCTCCACCTACAGTTGCCTCTCAGAAGTCACCTCCTCAGGGAGGCCTTCCTGGATCACACTATTCCTCTCTAGTCCCTATCTTCTTTATTTTTATTCCTGGCACTTATCGCCAGGAATGAATGATGTCACATAATCATTTCTGCAGGGTTTTTGCTTGTCTTGTTCACTGTGTGTCCCTGAGGCCTGGCACACTGAGTGGTACATAGCAGGTACTCAATAAATGTGTGTTAACTGACTGAGTGGAGTGGGTGGAGGCTAATCCAGGGGGTGTGTGAGGGCCTTCCCCCCCAGCACTGACGCTCCATGGCTCCAGGCTGACCCAGGAAGGGAGAAGGAATCCCTCAGCTTCTCAGGCCATCCCAGGCCTCTCCCCAGCACCTTATCCTCAGCTGCTCCAGGGTAAAGGTTGTTGAAGGGGAAACCCAGAATTATCTCTCTGCAGCTTGAGCGTCTCCTGATTCCCTGGAACTTGTTCCCTCTGGAGCAGAGGCGGCCACATTAGGAACTCCACTCTGGGTAGCAGGATGCTGGAGCCCCAGCCCAGCTCTTCTGCCCACCAGCTGTCACTTCACCTCCCTGGGCCTCAGTTTCCTCATTGGTAGAGCGGGGTTAGCAGTAGAACCTGCCTCGCGGAGTGAGGGTGAGACAGCCAAGAGACCTATCGACATGATCTCTGACCCCTGATAAGTCTTGGTGACTATGATAATTTTTATGGGAGGAACGTCAGCCTGTTAGTGATACAGGGACCAACATCTTGTCCTTTTCTTTTTCAGGATTAAGAAAGAATGGTGGGATCAAATTCCCAACCCAGCCCACAGCCCCCTCGTGGCCGTGGTCATCCAGGATTCTCAGGTAGAGGGGGTTGGTGAGGATGCTGTGCACTGCGTGTACAGGGAAATACAACTCAAGATGTCTGGGATGTTCAGGATATTTCCTGGCTTGGGGGTTGCACATGGGAAGTCAGGAAGGTTTCAGGGTAGGTTGAGTCAGCAGCTAGAGGCTTTCACTCCCTTCCCTTTGGCTTCCATGACTGTTCTTTCAGCCTGGGTGGGAGACAGGGTTTCCTCTGGGGTTGGTTTTTTCCCTCCCTTGGGAGGAGATGATCCCTGAGGTCATCGGCATGTCATCTCTTGGCAAGGTACCTGTGCCAGAGCAGGAGGCCAAAAGGAGAGGGAGAAGGGGAAAGGCTTTCTGTATATTCCTCTTAGCAGCAGGAAACTGCCCCCCAAAACACTAGCAAATCTCTCCATTCTCATTGGTTTGAATTACATCACAGCCTCTTTCCTATACAACTCACTTGTAAGGAGTGGGAATACTTGAGACCAACCAGGTGGCCACCCCTGAGCTACGGGTGGGGTCAGCTTCCCCAATGCGATGGCCAGGTGGGGTTTGCCTTAGTGCCATCAGGGTTCTCTAGGACAGGGGGAGGGGGGATACAGGTCCCGTCTAGAACAGAAGAAGGTCTGAGTGTCCTTAATTCTCCAGGGACCCTGTAGCAGGCTCTGGAGTCCAGTGGTACTGGCTTTGAACCCTGGCTCTGCCACTTACCTGCAGGTTAGACTTAACAAGTTGCTTAACTTCTCTGGGCCTCAGTTTCCTTGTGTGGGTTATAACAGTGGTTATAACAGGGCTGGTGTTGGAATTCACTGAGACAATCCACATGAAGTGTATATTACAGCGTCCTGCACATAGTGTCGTTTATGTATCAGTTAGATTTTGCTGTGTAACAAATCATCCCCAAATTTAGAAAGTTAAAACAGTAGCCACTTATGTAGCTCTTGCTTCTGCAAGTCTGTGGTTGGGCTCTGCTCAGCAGTGTGGGTGGAAGGATCCTGGGTTTGGCTGGGCCTGTACCAGTGGCCTCACTCACAGGTCTGGCAGGTGGCTGACACATCTGGGGCCATGGAGGTTACTAAGCCATGTATGTGTCTGTCATCCTTCAGCAGGCTGACCCAGTTGGCACAGTATCACTTCCACCACATTCTGTTGGTCAAAGCAAGTCACACAGCCATGCCAGATTCAGGGATGGGAGGAGCTTCAGAGACTGGCCATTTTTGCCATCAGCCACAGCAACTTAATAGTGCAGCCTCCTTAATTCTTAGAAAACTGAGGCTCAGAGAGGGGAAGTGACCTGATCAGACCTCAGACCCGTGTGATGTCAAGACTCAAAGTCTTCTCACGGCAAACACGTGCTGAGCATTGCTGGACGATAGGCTGGGCTGGCAGGCCCCTCCGCTCTGTGTCACTGGCTGTCTCTATGTTTTAGGTGTCACTGTGGGGGAAGCGGTCCCAAGGCCAGGAACCAGCCAAGTGCCCGTATGTATATGAACTTGGGTCATCGCCTATGTGGATTTGGAAGGGGATGGAATTGGGGTGGTGGGCCCCATCTTGAGAGTCTGCCTTATCTTCCTTGTTCAGCACTTGTCCTGTGACACTAGACTTCAAGGGATGGCAGGGGGAGGGGGTGGTCTGGGTAGGTCAGCTGCTGGCTGAGTCCCCTGAGTTTCAGTGGGGGTCAGGTACATACTGAACCCCCTTGGGATGCCCAGTCTGTCCTGAGCAAGCCTGATGGGGGTAACAAGCAGGGCAGCTGTACCACTTGTTAAACTGTTGACATAGTGGCATACTGGTGGGCAGATACCACTATCCTGGACCCTTGAATATGCCACCATCTTCCTGGCCTCCTTAGCCCCTCTCTCAGGGCCCCCTGAACCTACCCGCAATCCAGTAACTGAAGGGTTTATACCTAGCACAGCAGGGGACTCCAGGATGCTGCCCAGCCCTAGGACTCCCCAGCCATTCTAATTGGGCCTTACTTATGCTATGGTGTTGAAAGGTATTTTATTTTTATTTATTTTTTTAACGTCTTTATTGGATATAATTGCTTTACAATGTTGTATCAGTTTCTGCTGTATAACAAAGTGAATCAGCTATATGTGTACATATCCGCTCCCTCTTGCGTCTCCCTCCCACCCTCCCTATCCTACCCCTGATAGGTATTTTAAATACCATCATCCCTGACAAAGACTTCTCCTTATTCAATAGATAGAGTTTGTATTATATGCCAGGCTCCAGAAATCCCAAAGTAAGACACAGGCCCTGCCTTCAAGGTGTTCCCAATCTAGTAGTGAGGGTGGACTGATAGATTATTGATTATAAAGTCTGGAAGTGTGTTTGCAGCAGATAGACATTGATACCCACCAGGGTTCTTGGCCTTCCCTAGTCAAGAGAAATTGACTAGATGCCAGACAAGAAATTCAGGCAAGGCTTTACTGGGGCCCCTGCTGCAGTGGGACGGGGCGGGGTGGGTGAGGGGCTGGGGGGTGTTGGAGAACAAGTAGCAGGTTCTCTTGCCCGCTCCCCGAGGGGGGCAGGCGAGCTGGTTCCTGATATGGGGTGAGGGTAGGGGTGTGTCCGGGGATTGGGCCGGAGGGGTGGCTCAGGTGTTTTGCCCACCCCTCTGGTGGTGTGAAGTGCAGGCATCATGCACAGTACCCTGGTTTTGCTCCTTACACCCTGTTTTTGCTCCTGGCTCTTCAGAAGTGGCAGTTGCGTTTTTTGGTCTTTCTGTATCTTTTGTACATGCCCCAACTGCGCTTGCAGGCAGTTATTTTTAGTCCCATATAGTTTCTTTGTATTTTGTTGCTGGAGGTGAGGTTTGTCCAGTTGCAAGCATTGTAGCACTACAGCAAAGGGTCCTGGGTCCCAGCCCGTCTCAACATCAGTCCAGGGTGATTTTGAACTGGGCTTTGAAGGATGAATAGGAGTTTTTTCAAGTGGAGAAACTGAACCCTGATCAAACTTTGCTTTTGTAGACACTGGAAGACTTGTCTTGCCAAGCTTCTGCCCTGTTTACTGGAGCATGGCATGGAAAGGGATGAAGATTCCTCCAAGGCTGCTAGAAATGAGCCTTTCCAGTGTCCTGGAAAAGTAGCATGGCACCCCATGGAGGTCAACAAGACAATCCTCTGGCCAGAGAGCGTCAGCTTGGTTCGGTGCGTGGAGCTGTTTGAGGCCCAAGTGGAGAATGAAGAAGAGGAAGTGGAGGAAGATAAAGGGAGCTTCTGCCCATCACCTGACAGCAGCGGGGGCACCTTCCAGGAGGGCAGGGAGGGCATCGCAGCCCGGCTGACAGAGAGCCTGTTCCTGGACCTTCTCGGGGGCGAGGATGGGGGCTTTAGCCCACAGGGCTTGGAGGAGTCCTGCCTTCTTCCACCTTTAGAAAATCCAAGTGTTCAGAGGCCCTGGGCCACGTCCCCAAGTGTAGGGCCCCAGGAGGCATCGTCTGAGGACAAGGAGCCTTTGAACCCAGAGTCAAGTCCTCCAACCCAGAGCCCAGCCAGGCTGGCTTTCCCAGAGATGCCCAGTGTCATCGCAGACAACCCCACTTACCGCAGCTTCAGCACCTTCCTGAGCCAGTCCTCAGGCCCTGGAGAGCTTGACTCAGACCCACAGCTGGCCGAACACCCAGGGGAAGTGGACCCCGGAATCCCCACCGCCCCCCAGCAATCTGCACTGCCCGCCGCACTCCAGCCTGAGCCAGAAACGTGGGAGCAGATCCTGCGCCAGAGCGTCCTCCAGTGCAGGGCAGCCCCGGGCCCCGCCTCAGCCCCCAGCAGTGGCTACCGGGAGTTTGTGCAGGCGGTGAAGCACGGTGGTGCCCAGGACAGCGGGCTGGAGGGCTCTGGCCCTTGCGGAGAGGCTGGCTACAAGGCCTTCTCCAGCTTGCTCGCTGGCACTGCTAGCTGCCCGGGGACATCTGGAGTGGAGCCCAGCAGTGGGGAGGGGGGCTACAAGCCCTTCCAGAGCCTCACTCCTGGCTGTCCCGGAGCCCCTGCCCCAGTCCCCGTCCCCCTGTTCACCTTTGGACTGGACGTGGAGCCCCCTCACAGCCCTCAGGACTCATTCCTCCCAGGCAGCACCCCAGAGTGCCCTGGTTTGGAGCCAGTGGTCAAGGGAGAAGACAGCCAGAAGCCCCTGCTGTCCCCGGAGCTGACCACAGACCCCCTCAGGGATGACCTGGGCAATGGCATTGTCTACTCAGCCCTCACCTGCCACCTGTGTGGCCACCTGAAGCAATGCCACGGCCAGGAGGAACGTGGCAAGGCCCACATTGAGGCCAGCCCCTGCTGTGGCTGCTGCCGTGGGGACGGGTCCTTACCCCCGGTGAGCCCCCTGAGGGCCCTGGACACCCAGCTCATTGGGGCTCCATTGGAGGCCAGCCTCTCTCCAGCCTCCCTAGCACCCTTGGGTGTCTCAGAGGAGGGTAAGTCCCCCCTGTTCTTCCAAACTGCCCCCAACAATGCTCAGAGCTCAAGCCAGACCTCCACGGTGATGGCCATGCTCTCCCCAGGGCCCACGTGCACGGATGCTTCCTAGGTGTGTGCCCACTTCTTGCTGGAGTCTACAAGCGAGGACTGGGCCTTACCCATGACTGCGAAATGCCTCCCTCCAGAAGGTAGCCTGGCTGGCAGGGTTCCGAGAGACTCAGAGAACCCTGCTATGAAGTGATGAAGTCGTCCAACACTGGGGCTACGGAGTCCAGACGCCCCCGGCTCCCAGCATTGGCCCGGGCTCGCCACGTCCCATGGGAGTGGAGGGTGCCAGGCAGCTGTACGCACAGCAGGCACCTGCAGGGATCAGGAGGTTCCCGGGTGCCTTGGCTTGTGAATGAGCTGTTGGTCATTTCATGGGTCCACAGCTGCCCCAGGGGACTATCGCTGTCACGCTCAAGGCGTGTTTTGTCCACCGAGTTGCTCTGTTACTCATGTCTTGCCCAGGCCTGGGGTTAGCTGCCACCATCTCACTGGATCGGATGCTGAGCCTAGAAGCTAACCAAGCCAATGGGAGAATGACTTGGGAGGCCTTGGGAAACTGAGGTCCAGAAAGGGTGGTCATTTGCCCAGAGACGCCTGTTCATTTAACAGAGGTTGACACTGGCAGCAGAGTCTGAGCTGCGGAGGGGCGCTTAGTCAAGTGGAGTTAACGAGGACACGAGAAATTGTGATTACCGAGCAGTGACAGCTTGCTGCCAGCTTCCCACACAGCTGTAAGGTTGGGGGTTCTTGTTAATCACTGGATCCCCAGAACAAGCATGCCTGGTGACCTTGGGGCCGGCGTGTGCCCCCATGCATGCCGTTGCTGGCATCGGTGTTTCAGAGGGAGTGGCTCAGGTCTCCTGATCAAGCGAGCTGGGCGTCCGAAATGCCGACACCAGGCACATCGCCTGCACCTCGGCCCCGACCTCAGATTGAGTAATGTGCATTGTTTGTGTGCATCTCAAAAATCGTTTCATCACCTGGTGTTTGTGTTTGCTGAGGAGGGTAGAATGGGAGGGGATGGAGTTTTGTATAAATAAAGGTTCTTTACCTCCTTCCCCACCCTCCCCACCCCATTTATTAAACAAACATACTGCCAGGCACTGTTGCGAGTGCTTTATCTCTATTAACTCATAGAATCCTCCCATCCAGAGGTACTGAGACCAACCCAAGAGGTTAAGTAACTTCCTGTCTGCTTGGGTTTCCCTGAGACCAGGATTCAACTGCAGTTTGTTGACATAGGTGGCGATCCCAGGAAGCCCTGCTTGGAGAGCGGGGAAAGGAGGCAGGGAAGGGCAGGAGACAATGAAAGGTGTTACGGCACAGAGTGCCAGCACGGGCAAGAGATTCTTCACGCCGCCGGGGAGCTTGGGCGAGCCAGGCGCAGTGCACGCCTAGAGGTGGGGAGCTGGCTGTTTGTCCACCAACACCCATCTGTCTTTGGTGGAGGGCTGCTGCCAGGGACAACTCCCCAGCACTTCCAGCTGCTCCAGGAAAAATTCCTCAGATTGAGAGTTGGGGGAGTGGGGGAGGAGCGGCGTTTGAGCAGCTTTGGACACGTGGAGATGTGGACAGGGCTGTGATGGCAGCTGCTCCTTTGCCAAGGTCACACAGCTAGTGGCAAGACCCATAGCTGAGCCATTGCTCAGGCTCTTTGTAGGTGATCCGTGCTTGACATCTGGGCGGTCGGTGTATAGAGTGGGCCTCAGACACGCAGGCAGGGGATCTTAAGCTCCTTTGCCTGCGATCACTCTGTGTCTGAATAGCCGCCCTGACTGCCACGCTTGCAAAATGAAGGGCTCGGCTGTTTGAGGTTCCTTCCTGCTCTGGCATTCTACGTAATACATTACAGAGGTGATGGGGACCTCACTGCCTCACATGCAGCCTAATGTTTGTGAGAACTCCCTCCTTTGTGCTGAGCCCAAATCTATCCCGCTGCCTGAGTCACCACCCCACACCCACGGTTTGCAGATGGGGGAAACTGCTCTAGAGAGGAAAAGGGACTTGCCAGCGTCACACAGTGAGTGGCAGAACCTGAACTAGCCCTCTGGACCTTTTGTCTTCAAGAGTTCTTTGTAATAAGATATAATAATTTAAAATAAAAATAACTAGTTAGGACCAAGCAATTTGCTTGGTGTGGCGTACACTGACTGTGTCACAGCTCTAGCGAGCAGGTTATTATCCCAATTTTACAGATAAGGGAGCAGGCCCAGAGAGGTTGAGGTTTAGCCTAGGGCCACACAACTGGGAAGTCCGGGAGCCAGGATTTGAATCCAGGTCTGATTGCAGAGTTCCCAGCCACCATGGTGTGCCATCTCATGTACAGCATGGCACCGACTCGATTGTCAGCTCTGATTCGCCTGCGGGTCATCTCAGAAAATCAAATTTTAAAACTAAGCAGCCAGGGAATTCCCTGGTGTCCAGTGGATAGGACTCGGTGCTTTCACTGCCGTGGCCCAGGTTCAATACCTGGTCGGGGAACTAAGATCCCGCAAGCCTCGCGGGGTGGCCAAAAATAAAATAAAAACTAAGCAGCCAACAGAGAAAATATATTTGGGTGAGTGCTGGAGAGCTGGTTGGATTGCAAGTCCAACAGAATTGAGACTGACTTGTTCTGTCCCCAGGATCTTAGGAGGAAGACACCCAACTTGTCAGCTGAGGCTCATATTACAGAATCCGCTGGGCTTTGGGAAACTAGAATGGAGAACTAGGCAGAGACACCTCCCATCTCTTATCCGGATTTCAACCCACCCTCCCAGGTTCAGGGAAGCTGGAGAGAGGTCACCGTTCTGGCTTCCCCAACCCCCTTCTCCATCTTAACACAGGGAAGGAGGAAGCAGAGAGAGCGGGAAACACATCCCACTGATGTTTACTGAGAACTTACTGTGGGCCAGCCACTGTGCTGGATGTGAGGAAACTGAGTCACACAAAGTCCCTTCCCTCTTGGATCCTACAGTTCAGAGGGGGAGACAGAAATGTAAAAGACAAAAGGAAAAAATAGGAGTCTGAGATGGGGGGGTTAGTGGAGAGGTCTTTAAGGAGGTGACATGTGAGCTGAGCCTTCAGTGACTAGAAGAACCAGGATGGACTGGAGGAAGAGCATTCCAGGCGGAGGATAGAGCAGGTGCAAAGGCCCTGAGGCACAAGGAGTTTGGCGTGTTCCCATTAAGAAAGCTCAGCTACAGCGCAGTGAGCCAGGGACAGTGGTGAGAGATAAGGTCAGGCAGGATGGGGGACTGGAGTGAGGAATTTATATTTTGGCTTAAATGCACATTAGCCCCACCCACTGAGAAACATGGTCCAATAGACACCCATCTCTCTTCAATCTCTCCAGTCCCAAACGTAATCCATCTATAAGCAGGAGCCCAGGAGAGGAAGTGGAGGCACTGGAGATGTTCCTCCAATAGGACTCCCTCTCACCTCGCAGAAGTGGAGAGCTAAGGTTCCTTCTGACGACAGTGACGGGGGTGGTTAAAATCCTCCTTGCTGCTCTTTTCGCTCAGGAGTGAAGTGAATCCCACCAGAAATGTGTTGATTAGCACAGGGGAGTGGCTGGCCTGCCAGGGTCTTCCTTGGGAATTTCTTTGATAAAAGACTTTTAAAAATCCCCTTAAAATCTGATCTTGACCTCCCAGGCACGTCTCCAAATTAGGCAGGGAACCCAAGGGTCTTCGGGGTGTGAAGTCCCAGCCCCCATCTCTGCTCTCTCTGTCTCCTTTGTCCTGCCTGTGTCTTCATTTTTTTCATTTGTGAAATAAGAAGGATAATAAAATCTGCATTGGAGCGTTGTCCTGAAGATAGTCTACGTTATCATCATCATCTCCTGGCTTTACTCCAACCTGGCGGGGGCACAGGTAACAAGAGTGAAAAGGTACAACCAGCTTAGAAATCTAGAATTCTCAGCCTCAGCCACTGCTCTGGGCTTCCTCCCGTGGACCAAAACCAACCAAACAAACAAAATGTTGCCTGCCGTTTCAGTCAACAAAGAATGGTGTCTGCATTCTGGTAAACAAAAATATTGCTCACCATCAAGCCTTCAGCCACTGCAGCTGCCCCAGGACAGTGAGCCCCGAAGGGAATTCGGGAGAAAAACAGGATACGCGCCCTAGACAGTTAAGATGCCCAGACTCTCGCATCTTCCCAAACACAGAAAAGCACTAAAATCATTAACTTGAGATGTCTGCTTTTTCTTGTGATTAGCAATAATCTTTCGATGCTCTACTACATGTTTTGTTTTGTTTCAGCAAAAACTCCTATAGATCCAGGCTGCTCTCTTACCTCTTTGGAACAGTTCCTCAGAGCGGTCTGAGAGGCTGTATCCCGGGCTATATAGTTCTCAGTAATGTCCCTGAATAAAACATAATTCTCTGTGTGCGTTTTTTTTGTTTGTTTTTTTCAGTAGACTCTCCAAATCTCCCTGGAAAGCCCCTGATAACTCCCACTGCCATTAGTTGATCCTGACATGGAAGATCCCCAGCTCATGCCCGCCTCAGTCCCCCACGCTCTCTGGCTTCTGCCTACTCCTTCGAGGTCAGGGCTTCCCCAGACTAAGCCTGGCAAGTCACTCCTTCATTCAAATATAATTACTCCCTGACAGCAATTGTTAAAACAAAAATAAATTTCTCAAATTATGAAAGTGGATCAAAGTTTTATTTTAGATTTTTAGGGAGGGAATCAGAAAAAAAGAAAGAGAGCATTGGTTCAAGGAACAATCTTAGTGTTACCAAACGCAAGTTCATGTGCCGGACACACAGTGAGACCAACAAACCAAAATGTCGGAGTTTGGAGCAGAGAAAGGTTTATTGCAGGGCCATGCAAGGATAGTGGATGGCTTGTACTCAACCCCGAACTCCCCAAAGGGCTTCAGCAAAGCATTTTTAAAGGCGAGGTGAGGGGGGCGGGGGGGGGGGG